TGACTAATTAGTGAAGTTTTGAAGTTCAGTAACCTCCGCAAAATATTCCGCAAAATATTTAGCAATGCCTATATAGGTATTAACCCCGGTCATAGATCATAGTACACACTAACTGGGACTGATAATTTGGGGTCACTGCATCTAGCAATGGAGACGAAGAGGGTTCGATTGTTATTCAAAAATGACGATGTTCTGAGAGAAGCGCAGAAATCGGACGGCCTGAATCGATGCTGGGTTTTGTTGAAACCCAATCAACACAGAACAATTGCCGATATTACCTCTCACCTCGTCCACGCTTTCCAGCTCCACCAGTCGTGCCCCCATGGCCTCCTCCTCTCCGTAATCTTCCCTTTTATTTGTTAATTTTTTGTTTTGGGGTCCGTCCAGTGACCGAATTGGGAATGCTGTTGGTACATTGGTGCAAATATCTGATGCTTTTTTTCTCCCCTCGTATGTTGGAATATTTGCTCTAATACATGCGCAAGGAAAAACTCTTGCATGCTAAAAATTCCTGTTGATTCCTCCAAATAACTGAAAATGCCCTGCCTTGCCTTGCCTTGAAGAATTGAATATTTGAGCTTTCTCCAGTGGCAAAACCTCGTGCTGATTTTATGATGTTTGTGGTCATTTTCTCGTGTCATATTTTTCCACCCTGTATGGTGGGTTTTTTAATAGTGTGCTCTTTTCTTGTTGGGGATTCAACTTTTTTACTGGAGTGAGTGAGATGCCCAATTTTGAAATAGATGCAATGGGGTTTATCTCTTGTTAACCCTTTATTTCTATGTAAGAAGTTATTTATGATCGTGGGTAATGAACTGAATTGATAACAGTGACTATCAAATTAACAGGAAAAAAACAAGTAGAATGCATTTTTTTTGTTTTTCAAAATAAACTGGATTATTTTTCAGACAGGTCAAAACCAAAAATTTTCTGTTTTGGTTAATAGTTTTTCTTTGTTGCTGGGTGTTATTTTATTAATTCTTACTAAATCCATGCAGATGGACGGATTTGTGTTGCCATCGTTTGAGTCGACTACCATTTTGAAGGATAAAGATCTGATCAGGTTAATTTAGTTGTAGATTCATGTGCGGAAGAAATTAAAATTGGTAGCAATATGTTTTTACCCTTTTTAGTTTACATGTGGAAAAGGATGTAATTAACCTATATTCTGTTTCACATGTGGTGTCAGAGTAAGGAAGAAAGATGATGCTTTGTTTATAGAAGGACATAATGCTGTTCATTCAGTCAAGAAATTGAAAGCTTTAGAAAAGCGACCTGTTAATAGTAGTGTCTTGCTTTTATCAAATGTGGAGTTTGAGAAGGGAAAAGAAGTTTATGAGAGTGATGACTCTGAAGAGGAAGAGGAAGAGGAAGAGGAAGAGGAAGAGGAAGATGAAGATGAAGGTGACCTGTTGGAAGATGTGGAAAATCTATCTGGTGTAAACGTAGATTCCGAGAAGCGACAAAGAAAAGCATCAGAGAAACTTCAGTATTCCATGTACGTAATACTCTATGCTATCTTGCCCTTGTCTTATTATGGCAATCTGCATGTATTACTTATGTTTGAAGATCAATGCCTTAATTCGTTAATTAAAAAACTCTGTTTGCGAAATATAGGAAAAAAAAACATTCTGAGGCTCCTGAAACTGTTGCAAGTGACGGTCATGTAGAAAAGATTGCAAACCCTCACCAGGATGGAGTTCTAACAAAACAGAAGAGCCATTCACAGGTGGAGAAGAAATCTGATTCTAATGGCAATGGAAACATTGAAAATAATGAGGAAAATGCTAAATTAAGTGACAGCAATGATGATTTTATTCCCAGCAAGAAAAGGTAGGTTTATGTATAAGATAGTCTTTCCTTTGTCAAGATAAGTTTATGTATAAGATAGTCTTTGCGATTTCAAGATGATGTTTGCTCTCTGTTGTTTAAAATTTGGTTTTGACGGGCTAAAATACAAGAAAACGTGCTTAAAATTCTTTCTAGTTTTAGACGTGGTTAGAATTTTACATACTTGCAGGTCTCAAACCTATTCTATAGGGGTCATTCAAAGATGAATGATGACTTGACTTTTTGATTGAAGTCTAAAGAGACCATCCTGTAAAAATTCTTTTAGGAATCAAAATTCAAGATCAGTTTCTTCTTAATATTTTAAGGGCATTTGAAAAGGTGAAAAACAATAAAAAAGGTAGTTTAACCGAGTGAATAGAAAATTGATTGATGGTCTTTAGATGTCAATGTATATTGATGCATTGCAGATGCCAAAGCACTAAGGGAATATCCGAATTTGCTTGATTTGGAGGTTAAAGGGAAGAATTCTTAGTACAAACTACTTCCTCACTTAACCATCTTTATCCCTTAATATGTGACATTAAAAGCATGTTTGGTACACCTTAAAATCTAATAAATTGAAAATATAACCGTTATTGGGTCCCACTCGTCTAATAAAAGTTAACAATAACAGCTATTTTTTCAATTTTAATTCTATTTCAATCTCTACCGAACACGCCTTAAATAAACTGAAACTTCGAACATACTGGAAGTAGATAAGGGATTATGAGGTGGGCCATGTATCTGAATCGTGAATTGAAAATATTAGTAAATAACAACTTGGAAAGGCCACTACAAAATGTGCACATTTAAGGAAGGTGGACCCTGTTTGAGACATCCCAAGGAGAAAAATTCATTTGAAGAGGGGAATATTTTTTGTTTGGATAGATGATCTTGTAATGAGGCCTTTTAACCTACATCTCTATTTGTTTTATTAATGCAAGCTTGTATTTGATATCCACTTCGCAACCTTTACCATTTTACTAATGACATCCTTAAGTTTTGCTGCCGGGAGAAATGGCTAATTGGAATCTTAACTGCAAAATTAGTAAGATTTATGTTATAGCTACCTTTCTATTGTGCTACATTAGTTCCTTTAAATGTTTAAGCATGTATAATTGTTGTCGATATTTATATCCCGTAAGTGTACGGATCGTAACAAGTAATATAGTGGATCAATGAGTCCGAATATTATTCCCATGAGGACTACTATCTAACAATTGGTTAGGAATAATCGAAAAAAAATAATAAGGTTTGTGATTAGTGTCTAGATTATTCTAACTAAACTAAATCAATCCAACGTACACAATTTATTGAATTTGGGTTTTAAAAGTATGAATGTGGATGCTATGACTTACAATTTTACCTATGGATCCCCTTTAATTTGTTAATCAAGATTCATTACTATTGTAGTGTTGTTGTATTCTTCCAAAGTATTCAATTTACACATCTTGAGTTCTCGTTGAGTCTATTTAACTAATTCAATTCCATATCTTTATATGAATCAAACTTAATTAAACAGAATATTAGTTCTAAGAATTCATCTAAGGACCGCGATAATTAGTATATGTATCTCTACGCGTTATATTAAATTATCGGATTTTACTATGTGGTCTAAATCTAAAATTCACCTCTCGATTCGTAGTAGATTTACAAAATCATTGAATAATTGGCTAAAGAATTCAAAGCATTAAATTTATAAATAAAATCAACACATATACATTTAAAGAACTTTAATCTTGAATAAAAGAAATAAAGGGTCACACATAGATTGCATTTTTTGCTCTAGTTATGAATTTAGGTACTCATAATAATAAAAGAAAAACATAAAATATAAAGTTCATAACCGTTTTTTGAAATTTTGATCATGGAAAGAATTGGATCTTACACCATCATGGAAAGAATTAGATCTTGCACCAAGAATCTTCTTTAATCTCAAAAGTCTTCAAACCCTAGCTTTTGCTCTTTGATCTTAATGATTATATGTTTTTCTCTCCTCCCAAATTGTGTGGAACTTACCTCAAAAGTTTCTCACTTCTATTTATGCTTCTCTTGTGTTTCTCGAATTTAAGAGTTTTTCTGGGCTTTTAACGGGCCAAAACTGTACAACCCTAAAACAGGCAATGCAGTGCTTGAACGCTTGAAAGCATCGTCGGAGCGCTGCCGATATAAATCTTGGTGGCGCCTAGGCGCTATGAGTGCAGCGCCTGTGCGCTGACTTGCGGTTCCAAACTCTACGTTTCTTTAGTATTTTTGTCATAGTTTTCTCTTCCAATATTTGATTAAGGCGATTCAAAATGTATTGAAAAGATAACTCAAAGAGTTTAACAACTTTTCTAGAGATAACTTTTTTCCAATTTGAACGTCTACTATGTTAAAAATAGGTCTCAATTTTATACAAAAAATCTGGAACATACTTGTGCAGTTGAAAATTGATTTGTAAAAATATTTTGATCATATTTCACTCATTTTTGACTTTTAATTGACCCATAGCATTCTCGAATCTTCATTGTGAGTTCGACACAACTTTTGAGTATTTACACTTTAGTTTTCAAACTTTGGATCTTTCTTTTTTTCACCAATTTTCGTTTCTTTCTTTCAATTCAACTTCCTTTCATCGAGTTTCACCTAATAAACGAAATATACAATAAATTAGGCCATAATTGTTCAAAAGAACTATTAAATGTTTATATTTTTAGATCCAATGTATAAAATACGCTTATCAATAATTCATCTTTAAATACACCGACTGTTTCTAGCATCACTTCTTTTCCTTGATAGATTTCTTGATTTTAGTTTGCTTATGTGTTTATAGAAGTTTGGAGCTTCAAGAGAATGGAAAAGAGATCAAGGATGCCAGCTATGTACCAAAGGAAACAAAAAAGGTCCTTCTAAGTACAGTATTGATATATAAGATATATTGGTCCTGTACTGTCCTTGTATATACGTGTCCTTGTATATACGTACAGAAGTAGTACTGTATAGAAAACTGAGTATTGAAAGATGCTGCAGTCTATTTATGAAAATTGTGGAGAGGTAGATGTGTCAAACTCATGATCATATAATTTTTTTTTTTTCGAGGAGCTTGTATAAATTAAGAGAACTTATATTTTCCCGAAATTAGTGTTCCACTTGTTTAGCATGTGCTTCCAGTCTTTTACAAGAATCCAAATTATCCATTTTTCTCAGCGCAGAATGCAATATGCTCTAAGCATTCTTGTATGATTGAGATTCGGTTTTCTGAGGGCATTGACTTAAGTGGCATCACAAATACTCTATTACTTAATTTAAATTTTTATATGAGTTCTGCTTATATTGGATCTTTTTTTTTCTCCCCTTTCAAAGGAACAACCTAGAAATCTATATGGATTTTACCCTGTATATTTGCAGATTTCAAGTAGAAGTGCTATGCGGAAGCGTGCTAAAAGGCAATGGTTGCGGGAAATGGCGAAAATTCAGAAGAAAAATGAAAGTTCTGAATCAGAGAATCTTGTAAGTTGTTAAACACGTGTAAAAGACTTTTCCAACGTTACTAACTTAAGTTACATTGGAAATTGACTACCTCAATTTTTCAGAAAAATTGGAAAGAGGACCAAGCTAAAGCTGAAAGAAATAAGGTGGATGACCACCCAAGAGGAGTGGTGAGTTATCTTATTCTGCTTAACCAAGCCTGATGATATTGACATGAAAATTAAATCCCTAATTTCACAGAGAAATTTGAAAAAAGATCTAGCTAAAGCTGAAAGAAAGGAGGTGGATGGCCAACCAAAGGGACTGGTGATCTATTTCTCATTAGACATGAGCATATTTGTTATTGACATGAAATCTCTATGTGCAGCTACATTGGAAGAAATTTCCTGGAAGTAAGACGTCTAACAATGTGGAAAAACATCAACAACAAAATCAAAATATAAATGCACATGAACACCCTAATAGAAATGGAGATACATCCTGGCAGTCAAATCAATATATTGATGATGAGGCTGAAGCTGTTCCTGTTGTAGTATGGCCGGGGCACATCCGCTTTGGGAATGTGGGGAAAGGTCAATCTCTCTCTCTCTGTGTATTCATTTAACGGCCTGTTTGAGCCCCATTTTTTGTATAGAATACATTTTGGAATAGTAGATTGATAGATAATGCATGATCAAAAATGAAGGAAAAGTTTTTGCGTGACGTGTAATATTATTTTATTAAAGAATGTGTAGTTGAAAAGAAGAGGGAGAAAAATGTATTTTGAAAAAAATGGGGATCAAACAAGGGCTTAGTGTTCATGTTTTAAGTGTGCATATGCTGGTCTTGTTTCAAGTGAATTGTGAATAAGCAATTTATCTGATTGACTGAATTATGATTTCCCTAATTTAAATGATAGATGGGTCTTTACACAGCATTCTAGTTGGCTTGTGTTTCAGTTCTGCACATAGTAGTGATTTCAAGTGCTTTATCTCTTCTCACAACTAAGGCCCTATTTGTCTCTCATTCTTTCAAAACTCTTTTTTCTATATACTCATTTTCAACCGCACATCCACACAATAAAATATTCTATAGGTAAACCCAAAAATTTTGCTACTTTTTAACTACACATTCTCCAAAGATTCACTATTCAAAACAATGT